CAGGGTTTCTCTGTGTAGCCATGGCTGTCCTGTACTTTATTTGTAGAACAGGCTGGCCTCAAATTCACAGCCATCCACCTGCCTCTGCCTCCCTGAGTGCTGGGATCAAAGGTGTATGCCACCACGCCCAGCTCCCCTGCAAGAAGCTTACAGTCTTCTAGAGGAATGATCACACGTGTGAAAACCTGGAGTTCGCACCTCTTGGCTAGGGCTGAGGGGATCCCTGCCTGGGAAGTAGCCTGGGCTCTTGCAGGTTCTGGTTGGAACTCTGCAGTTGAGGGGAGAGTGGCTGTGAAGGCCAGGAAGCCACCAACCTGGTGCTGCCACACAGGAGTCCTTTCTCAAGCCTCTGAGCCGTAGGTTTCGGGAAAGCAGAGCCTTCATGTGGTGTCTGAAGTGCTTTATCAGCTGCTCTAGACTGGATGCTCTTGCATACATCTGTTTATTTAAAAATGTTTAATTTAGTGTGTACGGCTGTTTTATCTGCATGTATGTGTGTACCAGTTGCCTGTCTGGTGCCTGCAGAGGCCAGAAGAAGACATCCTAACCCCTGGTTCTGGAGTACAGGCAGTTGTGAACTGCAGTGTAGGTGCTGGGAATTGAACCTGGTCTTCCACAAGAGTAGTCAGTGCTTTCAACTGTTATTTTCAGTATGAAAAAAATCCCAAATCAGCTGGGCAAGGTGGCGCACGCCTGTGATCCCAGCACTCTGGGAGGCAGATCTCTATAAGTTCGAGGCCAGCTTAGTGTGCAAAGTTAGTCTAGAACAACCAAGACTACACAGAGAAACCCTGTCTCAAAAAAGAAAGAAAGGAAAAAAAAATCCTACATTGTTTGATTTTACCAGTGAAGACTCAGGAGCTGGGGTGAAAACCTGCTAGCTCAGAGAGGCAGAGAAAAGTCAAACACCACAATCTAAAAGCCAAAAAGCTTGTTAGCTCAGTTGACAGCCCGTGAGGAAAAAGCCAGAAGCCAAAAAGCTTTCTTCTTCCCCATACTGTCTTAAATACTCTGCTCAAAGGTCCTCCTTTCTGTTTAGGCCCCTGTCATCTGGTTCTTGCTCCGCCTCTTGACCTAGGGTCAACTTTATTAAATCCTGTGTACAGAAGGCTCTTGGATTAAAGGTGTGTGCTAGGGCTGTGCCACAGCAAACAAGGAACAGGTTTTTACAGGTCAAAATTTCGGGGTTCACAGTGGGATCAAGTATTCTGCAGCTTAGCCACTGCGCCCTACTCATCACTACTCTCTGCTTTTATTCTTGCTCTGCGCGTCGCCTGCTTGTCTAAATTCCTGATTGCGGCTTTGCGTTCTCCTTCATCTTGCTGAGAACAGGGTCTATAGAGCTGGTTATTGGGAATTTTACTTGGTTACTTTAGTTTTATCAAGTCATTATGAAGCTGTAGTTTAAAAAATTCTTGGGTGGATTGTGGGGTATGAGATGTCCTGATCTCTTGATACGAAGAAGAAGGAGAAGGAGAAGAAGAAGAAAGAAGAAGAAAATAATTCTTAGATAACTCCCTTTTTCTCTGTGTGTGTTGTTTTGTTTCTTAAATTTGAGATAACAGAGCCAGACAGTGGTGGCACATGCCTTTAATCTCAGCACTCAGGAAGCAGAGGCAGGCAAAACTCTGTGAGTTCAGGCTAGCCTAGTCTGCAGAGTGAGTTGAGTTTCAGGACAGCTAAGGTTAGAAACCCAGTCCAAAAAAAAAGAAAAAAGAAAAAGTAAAAAAAAAAAATCGAGATAACAGTCTCTAAGGGCAGGCTGGTTTTGTACTTACTGAGTAGATGAGGCTGGCCTTGAACACCTGATCCTCTTTGTTTTCTCCTCCTAAGTGCTTATATTACAGTTGTGCGCTACTCTCTGCCTTCTTTGTTAATTTAGTCTCTTATACAGTCTTTTTAAAAATGTAGACCTAACAAAGAGTGAAAACTTTACTTGTTTAAGAATAGGGATTAAAACATTTATTAGTGTCATTGTGGGTGCGTGGGTGCATGTGTGTGCATGTGTTGTGCCGTGGCATAAGTAGGGTCAGAGGACAGCTTTCAGGGAACAGTGCCCTTCCCATCTTGTTGGTTTTAGGGATCAAACGCAAGTCCCCAGGCTTGGTGGCAAGCACCTTAACCCAGTAAGCCGTCTTGCTGGCCCTAATTTCATTTATGAACACTAAATTCTGTCTCGTGATTATGTTTCTTGTTTATCTGTGTGGTTTTTCTTAAGTACATTATAAAAATGTATTTCATGACCTTTTATCCAAATGAATACTTACAAGTGGCTAACAATTATGTTCATACAGGCTTGTCAGAATACAAATGCTGTTTTATATATCTTTTCTCATTTATTTTAGACAAAAGAAGTTAGAAAAAGTGATGGAAGAAGAAGGCCTGAAAGATGAAGAGGTGATTTATGAGAGAGATTTTCTTCTTGGGCCCCATTGTGAAAGGTGGTTTTCTCTGTCAAGTTAGCTTGGGTGCCAGGGAAGTGTTTTGGCTCAGTGACAGGAATTGAGGGATTCAGTTACTCAGGCAGAGGAAGAAGTTAATTAAATACTCAGGAGAGGGAGATCTCTCTAGTCACAGTTATGTAATTAATTAGCTGTAGAATTCTAAGAAAAGCTGGGTGTGGTGGAACACGATTGTAACCCGATCATTCAGGGAGACGAAAGCAGGCTGATCTTTGTGAGGTAGTGGCCAGGCTGGTCTACAGGGTGAGTTCCAGGACAGCCAAGGCTACACAGAGAAACCCTGACATGGGAAGGGGGAAAATAGAATTATAAGAAAAGATGAAATTAGGAAAACTAAATTAAAATTTAAAAGAACAAGGTAAGCATTTTTGCCAAGTTCATGGTGCTTCGTACCTGTAACCTCAGCACTTGGAAGTTGAGGCAGAAGGATTCCTGCAAGACTGAGGCCAACCTGCAGCACAGAGTGAGAGCTCGTCTGTAGATGATGCATGAACTCGCTGAAAAGGGTCGGTGGAACAACAGTGCTGCCTCAGCCCTTCTGCATACTGCCTTCAGATGCCAGGCAACACAGCCAGTGAGGGATGATGCAGGTAGCCAAACAGCACTGGAAATGCCTTCAGAAGCCAAGTTTCACAGTCCGGGACAGCGACGGCAGATGCCCAGCCTGTGTAGGAAAAGCCATGCTGAGGAGTGAACGGTAGTGTGCGCTGGTCTCGGAGGAGCTAGAGAAACACACTTACCTGAAGAAGGGCTCAAGGAAAACGTGGATCTATCTCTTTTCACTAGTAATGCTAGAGCTGTGGATTGTTCACGTAGTTTAATCAGAGGCCTCAGGCGAGCCCCACCCCCTCTTCAGTGTGCCAGCCAGGGAAGGGAGCAGACACCGCTGAAGTTAGCCTGCGAGGTGCTGTCGTGAGATTGTGGTAGGCTAGTGTGGCCCTGCTCCCGGCTGTGCAAGGCAGCTAGGACGTGGTTTCAGAGTGTCAGAGTTTCATCTTTCCTTTTCTTTTTTAAACACTAGAAACGTCTCAGGAGGTCAGCACATGCTCGGAAGGAAACAGAGTTTCTTCGATTAAAGAGAACAAGGCTTGGACTAGAAGATTTTGAGTCTTTAAAAGTCATAGGCCGAGGAGCATTTGGTGAGGTAAAAAAATATCCCAGACCCTCAAAGCTTCTAACACCCCATGAGCTCCTGATCGTGTTACACAGCTTGAGTATCCAGGGTTCAGCAGCTTCGCTTCTCTTGTCTTCTCTCTTTCCTCCCTGACTCACTGCCCAGATCACTTCTCTCTCTCATCAGAGATGACACTGGCACTTCTTTTTTTGGACAGAGTCCCACTATGTAGCCCAGTTCGGCATCAACTGTATGATCCCCACCTTAGTGCCCAGAGTGTTGGGGTTATAGGCATGTGCCTCTGTGCAAGCTCCTGATGTCAGTATATTCACTCAGCAGTTCTGTAATCATGACAGGAACCCATTTCATAGATGGTGAAGGGAAGACTGAAGATGCACAGTGTCACACAGCTGTTGAGCAGGCGACCAGAGGCTACCCAGAGTCCTCTGCTTTAAAGCTGTGGATCTCTGGGCTGGAGAGATGGCTCAGGGATTAAGAGCACTGGCTGCTCTTCCGGAGGACCTGAGTTCAATTCCCAGCACCCACATGGTGGCTCACAACCATGTATAGTGAGATCTGGTGCCCTCTTCTGGTGTGCAGACACAATGCTGTATAAATAATAAATAAGTAACTCTTAAAAAGAAAAGAAATAAACCCTTAAAAGAGAAGAAGAACAGAAAAAGCTGTGGCTTTCCCAGGGCCACGGTGCTGCAAGGGAGACTGATGCTGTCTCTTCCCTCCCTCCCAGGTGCTCCCAGCTCTAAAGAGACACGGTGAGCTTGTAGGCGGTCTCAGAGCTCTCGGGGCTAAGGCCAGCTGGTCAGAGCCTGGCTTTAAAAAAAACATGAGCCTTGAGGTGGCAGCACAGGGCACGCCTTTGATCTTAGCCCTTGGGAGGCAGAGGCAGGTGGAACTCCAGTTAAGGTCAACTTTATCTACAAAAGTGAGTTTGTAGTTGTAGCGGTTGAATGTAGTCAGGTGACCCCCTCAGCTGCACCCCAGTTCCTTTGCCTGGATCTTTACAAATGAATCCTGCTCCTTCAAAAAGAGCAGTTTCTCAGGGAACGCTTGAAAGAGCCCATGCAAGGTCATTCTCATTGATGAAAAGCATCCCAAAAGACAACTACTGAGGCAGTAATTACATGATCTTTTTCTAGAAGGAGAAGCATGTTAGCCTCTTGAGAATAAGAACATGCTTTTCAAAATACTCTCCATTCAGGAAAAATGGACATGGTACTTTGTTAGAGCCTGGCATGCAGGAGCCTGGCATGGTGGCGCACGCCTGTGATCCTAGCACTCTGGGAGGCAAGGCAGGCAGGTCTCCATGAGTTCGAGGCCAGCCTGGAATCAAGAACAGCAAGGCTACACAGAGAAACCCTGTCTCAAAAGAAAGAAAAAAAAAATATGCAGAAAGACAGGGGGAAAAACACTCTTGGCCTTTTGACTCAGATCAAGTGTAGTATCTGCTCTAATCAGTTTAATATCTGATATGTCCTCCTTCTGAGGACAGTAAGTAAATTAAATGACTTTCTGGAGCTGGGAGATGGAGTAGAAGCTTGTTCCATCCACTCTGCCTTCAACCTGACCTGGTAGTCTAATCAAGAAAAAAACTTAGCATCTTGGGGGAACAAGGAGGATGTTCACGAACTTGCCAGGTTTTTCATTTGCCAGGTTTTTCAAATTAATATAGCATTAATTTTCTTTTCACAATTGTCTCATTAAAAGATTTGGAAAGAGCCAGATCTAGTGGCACATGCCTTTAATCCCAGCACTCAGGAGGCAGTCAGGTGGATCCCTGTGAGTTCGAGGCCAGCCTAGTCTACAGTGTGAGTCCAGGATATCCAAGGCTGTTACACAGAGAAACACTGTCCAAAAAAAAAAAAAAAGGCATTAGAAAATAGGGATGGGGAGATGGCTTATTGATTAAAAGCTCTTACTGCATTTTCAGAAGACCTGAGCTCAGTTCCCATCACCCATGTTGGGCAGCTCATAACTGTGTGTAACTCCAGGGCATCCACCACCTCTGGTCTCTGGGGACATCTCAGTTTATGAGCAAATAGCCACATCTAGACACACACACACGCATGATTAAGAATAATTAAATTCTTTTTAAAAATTAGAAAGCAAGCTGGGCATAATGGCCCAGGTCTAGGTCTTAATTCCAGCACTTGGTTAACCAGAGGCAGATGGATCTCTGTGAGTTTGGGGCCCTGTCTGCATAGTAAGTTCCAGGACTCCATAGAGAGACTCTGTCCAAAACAAAAAGAAAGAAAGAAAATAGAAAGGAAACTTCTTTGTCTAATAAAACATTTTAGAAAGAATTCAACAACCTGAGAGTTGGCTCAGTGGTTAAGCATACATACTGCTGATTGCAGAGGACCTAATTGAGTTCAGTTTCCAGCAGCCACATCCAGGGGCTCAAAACTGCCTGTCACCCCAGCTCCAGGAGAACTTCTTTTGGACTCCTTGGATAGCTGCACTCAAACAGGTACATCTGTAGATAGACAAACATATACAATAAATAAAACAGGTAACCTGAGCATTGTGGCACATCTTTAACTTAAGCGCGTAGGAGGTAGAGGCAGGCAGATCTCTGAATTTGAGACCAGCTAGGGCTATAGAGTGAGACTCTTGCCTCAGGGGTTAATAAGAACGCTCAGTTTTCCTTCAGAATTCCCACTGTCCACATGTCAGTCCACACTGCCTGTAACCCCAGTACTGGGGATCCAGTGTGCTCTCCTGGCTTCCTCAGGCACTGTTTGCATGTGGTGCGCTGACATACTTGTATTCACAACACCGCACACATGTGAATTAGTTAAAATGGATGATAAAAGAATGCTGGGTTCGTTTTTTCCTGCTTTTTACATTTTCTCCAAGAATAAGGTTTTACTCTCATGTTTTTTGTTTTGTTTTTGTTTTTTGACAAAGGGTCTTGTAGTGAGGATTCTGGATTTGGTTTTCTTTAAAAAAAAAAAAAAAGAAAGAAAGAAAGAAAGAAACACAAATATTATAAGAATGTGTTCGCTTTAATCCCAGGTGTGGAGATGTGGGGCTGCTTGATTCGTAGCAGCTGGCTGTGATTTGCCTCTTGCTCTAGCAGAGATGAAGTTTTGGCTGCTGCAGATAGTTTATGCAATTGTGTGACGTTTGGAATTCTGGGAACTTCTTAGAGGGTGTATAAATGCTGGAGCTGTGAAGGTGGGGTTGGTTGTGGTGTTTTTAGTAGTCATTCTCAAAGGAGAAACACAGAAATTAGATTCAGGGATCTCTCCCTCTACCCCTCTCTTCCTTTCTCTCTTTCCCTTCCTCTCCTCTGTCTTCTCTCTCCCCTCTCTCTTTCTCCTTTTGCATCTCACCCCTTTATCCTTCTTTCTAATCTAGTGATGGGGGCAAAACTGGTGTTGGGGGTGGGGAATAAAGAGTATGAAAAAGAAGAACCCACAAAGTAGCAACAGGGGCTTCCATAGCTAGACTAGCTTCCAACTGGTGACAGCCTGCTTCAGCCTCTTGATGCTAGGATTACAGGTGGGTCTGATACGTTATTTAAATGTTGTGATTATTACTTAGGCTTTCTAAAGTTGACTGTTTGAAATTTGTCATGAGTTTAATTAGGCCTTAAATTTGAGACTGAAGGTTTTTAAATTAGTTCGACTAGGAGCTGAAGCTGTGAAGGTGTAGGTGCAGCATTGGCAAGGCTGCACAACACATCATTTATTTATAACATTAAACGGCATCGTCTGTGTTTTGTTTTTTCTTTTTGCTTGTTATTGCTTATATTCAAATTATAATGATTTTCTAATAAATAGTATTTGTGAAGCCCTTGGTTTGATCCCTGGTGCTAGAAAGACAAATCCTTAGCTTGGCAGTGTGAGTTCAACTTAGCATTTCTTTTGGAACCTTCCAGGTGCGGCTTGTTCAGAAGAAAGACACAGGGCATGTGTATGCGATGAAAATCCTGCGCAAAGCAGACATGCTTGAGAAAGAGCAGGTAACAACAGTCAGCCTGCGCTGCCGTCAGTCAGCTTGTGGATTTGTCGTCTGAATTACTTTTGTTTAGTTCTGTTTATTTTATCACAGTTTTCTCATGTATATTATACATCTGATCCTACTTTTTTCCCCAAAAGATGCACTTATATGTTTAAAAGTAAAAATAATGCCTGTGAGCCACAAAGGGAACTTTACAGTTGAGACTTTGAGGGAAGGAAGCAGCTTCACGTCTGCCAGCTAAGCACGGATGCACTTACAAGAGCACCTCTTTTGTGGGCACACTTGGTATGATGGGAGTTTATTAATCCTGAGAAATACAAGCCCTTTGCATCCTTGAGTCAGGAGGTAGAGCTTGATGTCACTGAATGTGCTCTCTTTATACCTAAACCAAAGCTGGCTCCTCTGTGACGCTCATCCATACCTAAGAGAGACCAGCTTGCCAGTTTCTGAATTAATTTGGCAAAAATGAATGGCAGACCAAGGGAAAGTTTTCTTTAATGGTTAAGAACCCTTTCCTGGGCCTGCAGCAGGGCTGGGTGGTCAGATGTTTGCCTGCGATGTGCAAGGCCTGGGCTCTGTCCCTAGCAACACCCACCTTAGCAAATAAGACTGGAGTCCACTTTGCAGATCTGAGATACATACTTAATGGAAATTCCTTAAGATTTAAATATTTGATAGCCTTTTGTTGTTGTTGTGTAAGAGGGCAGACCTGTAGATCTGGTTTAGTTTAGCTGGTTGACCCAGAACAGGTAGCAATGGGTAATACTGCAGCAGAATTGCAGTGTAAGGTCAGAGATGGTGCCAGGCAGAACTCTGTGTGGAGCCCAGCATTGAGGCTAGAGACTGGCTTGACTGCCTGAGAGGAGAGTAATATGGAATTTCTTTCTGTCTACATTCAAGTGCCTTCTCAAAATTCTGTGGTTTAGGGGCTGGAGAGACAGCTGAATGGTTAAAAGCACTGGCTGCTCTTCCAGAGGGTCTGGATTGAATTCCCAGCACCCATATGATGGCTCACAGCAGTCTGTAATTCCAGTCCCAGGGAATCTGACACCAGCTATGGACATCTTTGGTCAGTACATGCAGATGGTACTTAGACTATACACGCAGGCAAAACAGCCATGCGCATAACAAGTGCTAAGTCTCTTTTTCATGTTTTACTGGGACACCTTGGATTGTTTGTTTTTTTCAAGGCAGGGTCTCTCTGTGTAGCCTTGGCTGTCCTGGACTCTGCTTTGTAGACCAGGCTGCCCTTGAATTCACAGTGATCCACCTGCCTCTGCCTCCCTGGGTGCTGGGATTCCATTGCATGTGCCACAGCACCTGGTGGCCTTGGATTCTTAGTTGCAGTTGGAAGCAGGCCTTTAGCAGATCTCCAGCTGCCATTGTAGTGTATGCAAACACCCTGAGGCAGGGCCCAGGATAGCCGTGTTGGATGTGTTCCCGAAAGGGCAGCGCGTGGTCTAGATGAGTGTCCCACGCTGACGAGAGCACCTGGCAGTCTCGTGAAGGAGAGTAGTCAGTTAGGGTATTTACCGGCACTCAGAACTTGTGTCAGTTCGTTAGCCACAAAAGCTAGAGCGTGGTGCTGTCGAGAGGGCCTAGAGAGTTAAGGGGTTGAGCTGAGGTTTATCTGTGGGACCCACAGAGTGGAAGGAAAGAACTGCTGACCTCTACTCATACACACATGTCCACACATATACAAAACAAAATATTGTAAAAATTAGAACAAGGAGCGTGGTGGTACACACCTTTAGTTTTAGCATTGAGGTGGCAGAGGCAAGCAGAGCTTTGAGTCTGAGGCCAGCCTGGTGTACATAGTGGGGTCTAGGATAGCCAGGGCTATGAAGAGAGACCTTGTCCCCCCAAAAAAAACAAAAATTAGAAAAAAATGTTAAGTAAGATTCACAATGACTGCAAACTGTGAACTGCACATTGCAGGTGCCAGGTGTCCAGCATGTAAAATTTTAATTACACTTTCTTCAATGTTAATACCTACAATTTTCTAAATGAAATTATCAATTAGAATTAGGATTTTTAAATAATGCATCAACTAATGCCTTAAGTGGAACATTAATTATTTAGGTCGGCTTAGGTGGGCCCAGGCCATCCTTTGATCTCAGTAGATGGCCAGCCAAGTCCTGAACGGGCATTCAGTGCTTATGCTAGGTGAGCAGGCCAGTACAGTCCTCAGTTTTGGGTAGAGCTGACCTGTTTTATACTGAGAATCTCAGTTGTGCTGTAGGTGCTATTCTTTTACACTTCCAAACAGAGCACGGTTTAGAACAACCTCCTGAGAGCTCAGGCTGTGAATTCGCCCACAGACAGGAGGGTTCTGTTACCTGGAAACCTTTGAAAAGATAAGACAGCAGCATTGGCTAGTGCCAGGCTTGTCTCCTCCAGCGAGGCTGATGCTGGAAAGAGAAGACTGGCTAGAATGTCAGCTTTCTGGGGCCTTAGATGCTACGGATAAGGAAGAGAAGCTGCTGGTGTCAGTGCACTCTGGCTGGGAATTCAGCCGACTCCATTTCTAGATGTCCCTGCTTCTAGCTGCCGCGTCAGCCCTGGGGGAGAAGATAAGGTGGACTCCCAGTGGTTAGCTTCCCTCTTGACAAACAGGAAATATTACA